GTGGGGGGAGCAGGGCTGGAGGTGGTAGTTGGTGGGGCAGTGGAGGAAGCTGCAGGGGCCAGTGAGGTGGTAGCAGTAGTTGTTGTAGCAGAGGGTGGAGGAGTGGTAGTGCCAGTAGGGTCGAAGCTGAAGAGGGGTTCACCGAATGGGAAGCTAGCCCCGCTGATCTGGGGAGTGTAGGGTGGTGTGCACACAAACTCTTTGGTCTGTTGAGCTTGCGAGGTGGGCACTGGGGGGAGGGGCAGGGGGAGAGCTGGCAGTGGAGGGTCGAGCTGGAAGGAGGGCGGCAGGAGAATGTTCTGGGTTAAAAAGTCTAAGTCTGCTACTGTTTCGACGGTGACTGGGGTGGGGGAGGAGGCAGCTGAGGGGCTTTCAGTAGGATGCTGCTGAAAGAAGCTTTCTTCCTCCAGAGAGGAGATACTGGAGCGAGGGTCACCCTCCAACTGCATGGCCTCAGCAGCAGAGCTCCCTGGTTCATCAGAGGAGCCTACACTGCAGCCAGCAGTGCTGAAGTCAAAGGACTGGGCAGACAGGCCGCTGCTGCCTGGGGTGAAGACCTGGTCTGGGCTTGACAGGGTTTCTGGAGACTGGAGGCTCAAACCCTCCTGTTGAGATGTACCAGCACTCAGAACCAGGGTCAGCTGGGTCTGCTCTGAGCCCAGTTGCTGACGCACTGACCAGGCCTCAGAGTCACTGAGAGAGAGAGAAGGAGAAAGAGTTAGATAGTTAGTTTGTTGTTTTTGCTTTAATTTCTCTTTATTTTTGTCTCCAAACTGATGAGTGGTGTAAAAAAAAAAAGGGAGTTAATACCTGATGATGTAGTTGTTGCTGCTGATGGGGATTTCTCCAGGCTGCAGTTGAAGTACCATGTAGAGCCAAACCCACGACTGGTCCAGAGCTTGCACACGCACCACCATTTCAGCTCTGCCCTCTCCTCCTTCTCTCACTGTTGAACAACAGTCACAGCACAAGTTGGCATCGGTTTGTAATCCTATTAATCATCATAGTGTTTTTCTCTGCGTGGATGTGCCAGTGGGCACAATGTGTGTGTAACTGTGTGGGCATGGATGGTTGTAACTGGTAGGTATGTGTGAAGAGTATACTTACATAGGCTGCGGTGCTGAGCGGAGGCATGTGACAGATCCTGTGGGTGGAGGAGGCTGTACCAAGAGCGAGAGCGTAAAGCTGTCACATCAAAGCCAAGATAGGCGCTCACACTGCAGGAGAGAGTGGGTGGTGATACGTTAGGAGGATAATGTTTTTACTCCTTTAGTTATTTCATAAACAGATAACTTCATATTAAAGCAACAGGTGGAGGTGACGATCTGCTATTTGTGTGAACTCACCTGTCCTGCGCAGTCTGCAGCCTCAAGTCTCGGCCATGCTGCGAGTAGAAGCATGCCAGGAACAAGTTGGTGTCAGCCAGGGGAGGGGCGGAGGTCGACTCCCTCTCTGCCCCGGGGCCGGAGCGGGTTGGGTGGGGCTCCAGCGGGGAGCAGAAACACACCCAGACAGGGTTAGAGGTCCAGTAGGACCCGGCGGCAGGAGTGGTGATTGGGGGGGAGAGGCAGCGAGCTCGGATCAGAACCAGCTTGTTCCCAGCACTCTGCCTCCGCACGGACTTGGAAGTGTTGAAACGACAGCGGAAGAGACGGTCTGTGAGGATGAGGAGAGGTTTATTAAAAATCTGTCTGCACTAGGTGGAGGAAGAAAAAAAATAAATCGAACTTGTGAATTTAATGTGGACGTTTTGTCTTACCCATCTCAAGTGATGTAGAGGTTGACAGGTTGGTCCTCATGATGAAGTGGTCTGAGGCGTCGATTATATCATACACGCTGTCCCCCTGTGCCACAAGATCCACCTAAAAAATTTACAAACAAAGACGTCATTCATGAAGCCCAAAGTAAAGTATTCCTTTACTAAAATGTAATTTCTGGTTATGTGTAGACTCACCATGGAGTGTCCGAGGTGGTCGGAGACGCTGTCTGACAGGTACAGGAGCTTCCCTTCCCCAGTCAGCAGCATCAGAAACCCCGGCAGCGCCTGCATCAACTCCGACAGTTCGTGGAAAGACAGAAACCCTGCGCTCTCCTCAAGACTAGCAGCAGTTCCCGCTCCTGTGTGAAGAACAGAAAAAGGTGCCAAATGTGTTAATAAAGCTGAACCCAATAACAATGAACATATCGGATCTCCGCAATGGGAGGAAGAAAAAAAACCCCCACAGTGGCCGCATTGTGTTTCAGCACCACGGACAGCAGCGCGGCCGTATTTATGAGAGCTAAAGCATTTCAGAACCATGGACAGCGATAAACCCTGCTGTTTAACGCCTTCATCAGCTTCCACATCGATTACTGTCGATCAATTAAAGACCCACAGATCTACAGTCTATCTGAAAATGACATTTATATGAAGACAATTGCCTGCGGTGCCACTAAAACACTTGTTGATTCCACTACTGTGAGCGGGCTGTCTGTGCCGCAGATTCATCAACAGGTCGTTTTTTATTCAGAGTGAATTCATTCTTACCTTGAGTGAAGAAGACGGATTTCCTGGTGTACATGCAGGCGAGTGACATGATGTGCAGGTATGAGAGCCGCGCTTTATCTGCATCGGATATGGGCAACAAGTCCTTCAGGTTCCGGATCTCGGCGTTGATCTGGTCCCGTCGAGCCTTGGAGGCTCCTTTGGTTGAGCGGTACATTGTGGCCGGTTGTTGCGGTGAACTATTAAAATTCCTCCGGATGTGAGTTGGAGAGTTTGTGAGCGGAGTGCTGTTTAACGCCGTGCCTCTGGCTGCCCCGTCTCCGAGATGTGTTAAGAGACAGGTTGTAGAAGTGGGAAAGCTCTTAAGGTGTTATTGGACTCTCATCTCAGCTATTTTTGTTTTTTCCCAGAGAAAGGTTTAAAAACCTTCTCCTGTCCTGTCTCGGTCTGCTTAGCTCCGCCACAGCGTCCAGCTCGGATGGCTGGCTGGCTGCTGGATGTCTGTCCCCCCTCTCGGAGTGCAGGTGAATCGGCGGCCGTGGTAGCCGTCTCTCTCTCTCAGAAGTCCGGATCCCGTAAATCTGGTTGAGGGACTCTGCTCGCAGGTCACTTATATAGCCTGGGACTCCGCCGGAGTAGGGGGGCTCCCAACGCACCAACACCGACGTAAAACGGAGGGAGGGGGGTGAAGAAGAAGGGGGGGCCGAGGGGGATAGATATGCCTCATATCAGCGTTTGCAATGGTGAAGCTCTCCCCCCTCCCTCTCCCGTGCCCTCTCCTTTCGGTGACTCTCGCTCGACGTCAGCTCTTCCCTCTGCTCGCTGATGACGTCGGGCTGAAATCGGGAGCTCCGGCGACGCAAAAAGCCCGATTTGGACAAAACCGAGTAAGGGGCGGAGCAAGCGTAAAACGTAAACGGAGTCACCGGACTCCGGTGTATTGGAGGAGGGGGGGTGAAGGAGGAAGGGGAGGGAGAGGGGTGGGGGGACTGAGTTGCATACGAAAGAGGTCTCTGTGTTTATATGTCTGGCACCTGAGGTAGGCTGCCCGTCACTGCCTGTTGGCCCCGGACCTGTCAGTAAACACGGCAGGTGTTCGTTAGGTGCGATTCACCAACTCACTTCGACCAGATTTTCACTGTCAACACGTAAATCATGTGAGACTGACGGTGCTCGGCTGTACCGCAGAGCTGAAAGGCAACACGCTCAGTCACCGAGCTGCTGGTACAGGAGGCGGACATGGATGCTGAGGCTGTTTATCACATCGCTGCTTCCCTCCGTCGCCTTTTATGAATGGACTCCCGAGCGGCTGAGAACAGTAATGAATGCATAAACCTGCACAAAATCTGCCGGTGGCCTCCCGTTTTCGTTAGTGTGTCGGACATTAATGCTGCGCACCTTCCGCGCCTTTACTGCAATTACATATTCTCCTATTAGGAGGCAATCTGTAGCATTTTGTGAACGGGTTTTTATTACATATAGGCTATAATGCCATGTGTATGTTTTTGTCTTTATCCTGTGTGTGCAAGTCAAAGACAAATCTGCGAGGATCAATAAAGTTTGTCTGATTCTGAGATAACAATTAACAGGAGGTAATTGATAAAACAATGAGCGCAGGACCAGCGACCCCCACAGTAAGACACCAGTATATGACCCTCAGGGACCAGTTCAGACCATCAAACACCAGCAACCATCACAACAGTTTCCAGAATGACTCTCTTATCATTTAACTGTTTAATGACGTGTGTGTGTGCGTCAGGGTCTGCGCTTTGTTCTCTGTCTGTTTAAATCCAAGGACGAGCTTCAAAAGCTTTATGAGCAGTGAAGTCGGTTTAATGAATGACATTTATGAATAATTTGCCGCGCGCAACAGCAGCCGGTATTGCGCAACCCGCAAAAACCTGTCGCCAGTCTCACGTGAGGTAAAGTGACGCTGTGTCTATAAATAGATCTCGCAGGTGACCGACACAAGGACTGAGAGGCGCGCCCCCGCATCCAGCCCCGATCGTCCTATTTATAGAGAGGAGATTTCACTTTTAGCCCCCAGAATAGATCTGTAGTATGTGCTTCACATGTGGAGCAGACCTGGATGTGCGCCACTGTCCATTCACACAAACACACAGATGTTTCTTCCGGACAGAGCGCGAACATATTTGTTTTATTTCTTTAATTATTTTTCGTTTTTTGTGTGAAGAGACCCGAGGGAGGGAGGGAGGGAGGGGGTTTGGTGAATGGTGGCAAATATGTTCCTTTGCAAACTAAATGGAGAAAATGTTCCGCAGCAGGACTTGATTTGCAGTCACAAGGTGATCTAAAATCTCTTTTGATGTGTGTGTGTGTGTGTGTGTGTGTGTTCGTGTGTGTGTTACTCATGTTTAACATCAATCTGTTAAATCTGGCTTTCCTTTTGGTGAAACAGTGCCAACACTAACGTCACCACAACGTAAATCGTCACATTTCTAGGGCCAATACTCTGTTTATTGTTAAGATTAAGATTATAGTTGGGGTTAGACATGTGGTGGTTATCAATATAAGTCAATGCCTGTGTGTGTGTGTGTGTGTGTGTGTGTGCACTTGTCTCAGTGTTAATTTAACATCGACAAAACATTTCTGAAGGATACAGATTTATTATCTTCATCTAGATGAATGGGGACGGATGTAAAGTAAACAATACAAGTCCCATTAAAAACATTTTTTATATTGATTACTTTGGCCCTCTGCTTACCTATTTTGATATTTGTCAATATGCAGAACATAACTCATTGATGAATCATCCTGCAGCTTGTTGGGGACCTTCAGCTTCACTTGTGGTTCTTATCCTGCATGTCTTGCTGAGGTGCTGTTGGGTCTGCCTCTGTGTCTGTTTTTGTCTCTTATTCTTTGGTTTTCTCGTAGTATTTTCACCACTGGTTCCTGTTTGGTAATGACCCAGAGGTACCAGATTGTAGATGGAAATGAATGACAGCTGCACCCAGAGGTATACAGTGGCGATTAACTGGCTTATTTCTAGTCCTCACTTTCAGTCTGTACAGTTTAAATCAGCTTCACTCAAGGTCTTCACGCCATAGAAACAAGATATATGAGTTTGTCTTCTGTACATTACATGGATGAGCAGACAGAAACACATCACGCACCAGTCTGTTGCTAAAGTGGGGACCATAACGTGTCCGCACAGTGACATCAGTTTTGTTTTTGGCTATTCTGTATGCAGCTTTGCACTTATTCATTAGTGCAGTTCAGTCAGAGAACATAATTGTTCAAATCTTTTTTAAACTGAACCTGAAAGGGCTAACATTGACTCATGCTCTTTGTTTCAGGTGCATCTAACGACCTTTTGTTTGGTCTGATGTTGCAGGAGTTTGGTGTTAAAGATCATCCAGATACAATTCCTCCTTCTGAACGTGATGAACGCAGTTTGAGGACTGAAGTAAGGCGTTAAGGTGAATTCCTTAAGGTGAGGAGCTGTGAGATATAATGAGTTTAGAGTCATTTGGTTTTATCTGCCTTTGGGACAATTTTGAGATTTAAAGTATATTTTTAATTCATTTAGAAATACAAAAAAAAAAAACAGACTAAAAAAACCCCACAAAAATTAATAATAAATAAAATGAATCATTAAGTCAGTCAACAAAAAAGAAACCAGCAATTATTTTGCTAATCTATGAATCATTTAAATTATTGTCTGGTTTCATCTTCTCATTGTGATTCTGGTTGTGAGGTTCAGCTGCTTTATGTAACAGTAAACTGCTGCTAATGCTACACTTTATACATATATACTGTACACGTATGTCTCCTGCATGTTTAACTATTTAACATTTAATTGTGCAATATGTCTTTTCACAGTACATTTGCTCTGTCACTGTCTATCTGCCTCATCCAAGTACATTTACTGATACTTTAAATATACAGATGGAGGAACTACCTATATTTATTATCTTGTTAATTTATGTTTTTTTTATCTTGTTTTTATTGGTGTACCTGGTCACTGAGAGTTACCAAGCAAAAGTTTGTTGTATGCCTACAATGACATCTTCAGATTTAGATTTAGTTCATCAGAGAAAACATCAAGTGCTCCTGGAATTGGCAATACCTTCCGGACTCCATTAACACAACTTCAGATAATCACAACTCAGATTTTAAACTGGACAGAAACAAAATAAAACTCACCAAAAGCATCTTTGTTAGTCTTTCTAACAATAACCAACACTGGTATAGTTGAAATAAATCCATAATTCACCAAGTGAATTGTGATGGGGAAATATTTGTGAAAGGCAGCAACGTAATCCTTGTGGACAAACGAACCCAACAAAGTGCGTCCACTAAAAGAGTTTATTTTTTGCCGCTGACAGGTTCATATTGTTATTCTAAGTGTCTGAACGTTATAGAAAGGATCCCTACAGAAATAGACCAGAAATCAGTTATTATATCTCCATCGCTCGCCACAAGGCTCCATTGACAAAAACATTAATTTTATCCTGCAGATCATCATAATACCATAACTCATTCAAACTGGACACACAAACAAATTAAAACAAACCAAAGCTGCCCTTATTGGTCTTCCACTGTTGCATCAAAAGAAAAAAACGCCATCAACCAAAGCCGACAGTTTCACACTGCAGGACTTACATACACTAACATGCACAAGTGTCCATCCTGGTCATATAAACAAAGCACAGAGCAGCTTGAGGACAACACACACAGAGGGAATGTGACGTCATTGCTCCACTGTATGTAGTAGTTGTTTGCTTTTAAACCTCATATATTTGACCATTCTTTAAACAAGTGTACCAGTACCCAGAAAGCCTCCCTGTTTAAGTCTAAGATACAGTAGTTCTGCCTGACATTTTCATACAAGCTGCACTTGTTTCCTTTCACATTACACTGTTTCAGCACTGAGCGTGTCTCTCACTGCTTTGTGGTAATAAATCTATTTTCTTTCAATTTTATTTCTTCACACGTTCTTTTCCTGCGAGTTCAGGAAACACAGCCACTTGTGGTAGGAGTGTGTCTTTTACAGTCTGATTCTTTGTTTTATTGGTTCATGGTTACATTTATGCATGCACAGGGGAGGTAATGATTCAATGTTATACTTGCTACTGTGAAAAGGTTGTTTACTATCTCAACCCACACCACTAATGTCTCTCAGAGTCTCATTCAAGAAAGCATCAAACTCTCAGGTCCCTGACATTTTCCTCAGGAACAAGCTCATGCTGCATTATGGCATTTCCTTCCCCCGGTTGCTTTTGTTTACAGAAAACTTCCACCCCTCACCAGTAGTTTGACTGAAAGAGTACCCAAAGTGCTTGTATCTTAAAGTTTCGATTTCTGCAGCTGCCACAAGGTAACGAATTGTTCTCCACACGTACTGCATCTTGGTGTCATTAGCACTCTCACACTTCAGATTCTTCAATATAACTACTCCAGCATTCTTGTTTCTCGTACAAAAAAAAGAACATTAAGTTGAACAGACACATTTAAGTCTCCTGCATCATTAACTAGCCTATAAGCAAGTCTGTGGCTTTGTCTCACATTGGCCCTTA